TGCATATCTAAAGAATTCAACTGGGAGAGGTTGCCTAAAGAGGAAGGAATTTGCCCTGAAATCCTATTTTGATTTAGGGTAAGCTGAACTAACTTTTCTAGTTTGCCAATGCTGGGTGGGACTTCACCTCCAATATGGTTTACATCCAATTCCAGAGCTCTTAAGCCAATCAAATTCCCAATCTCCTTAGGGATGTTACCTGAAATCTGATTGTGGTCTATATATAAATATTCAAGCTTGCTTGAAAAATTAGCAATTGATGCAGGCAATTCAGCTTTGAAGAGATTACACCCTAAATCCAACGAATAAAGGTCACTGTTATTAGTCAAAGAAGTTAGGAAATTCAAACCTTCAACCTCCAAATTGTTTCCAGGAATATGTAACTCTTTAAGACTCCTCAAGCTTCCCAAGGTGGAAGGTATGGCTCCACTTAGGTTGTTATATCCGATACTGAACCACTCTAGCTTGGATGCATTTGCTAATGAAACTGGTATTGGCCCTGAAAAGTGGTTTAGTCCTAAGTATATCATTTGGACATTAGGAAGAGTAGTGCCAATATCCCAAGGGATTTCCCCATGTAGTTGGTTTTCTGCCATGCAGAGGATTTCAAGTGAGGAAAGATTGTAAATAGAAGAAGGAATCATCCCTGATAAATGATTTGAAGTAAGTTGTAGAAATTGCAACTTTGATAGTCTCCCAAGCTCAGCTGTGATGCTTCCATGTAACTTGTTGTCCTTCAAGGATAACTTTATTAGTGAAGATGCATTCCCCAACCACCGTGGGATCCTTCCTGTGATGTGGTAATTTCTCGAGATTGAGAAGCTGACAAGTTGTTTTGAAAGATTTCGAAGCTCATCTGGGATTTCACCTTCAAGGTTATTGCCATTCAAACTGATGACTTGTAGATTACTACAAAATCCCAGATTACTTGGAATTTTCCCCTGAAAAGCATTGTCACTAAGATTAAGATATCTCAGTCGAAAAAGATGACCAACCTCTTGGGGAATCTCTCCATTGAACATGTTGCTATTGAGGTCCATATGCCTCAAAAAGGTGAGGTTGCCAATGTGTGGAGGTACCGAACCTACCAAATGTTGGCCTGCTAAATTCAACGTGATGACTCTTCCTTCATGCTGACGGCTGCATGAAACCCCTCTCCATTCACAAAAATGGAGAGTTTCATTCCAAGAGCTCATGACCATCAATGGATCTTCAAGTATTCTATCCTTCAAAGCCAACAATGCAAGTTTGTCAGTTTGGTTATTCAGCTGCAAAGCACTTGCAAGAGTGGTTTCTTGAACACCAAGGTGATGACCCATGCACATGTAGACAATGATGAGTATAATACTTGAGGATTGCAAATGTGGAGCTGTCTTCATTTTTGAATGCTAACAAGAGAAAATTGGGTTTGTTGCAACAAAGCTTGCACTTTTGCTCCCCTTTTATGCTGCCAACAACAAACAGAGTGCCCTGTTCATTTTAGTAACTTTAACCACATGACTTTTCCTTCTTTTTTTTCTTTTTTTTTTTTTTGGGTCACCTTATTGATTATTGAATCAATGCAAGTAACTTCCAGCATATAGCATGGTTTGCTTATCAGTCAAAAGTAAATCAACAAAATAAAAGCGAATCTATCTGGAAATCTCCACTCAAATCCAACAATTTCTATGCAGAAATTAAGACTAAGACTTGCATGTATATTATAGTAATTTATGGACTAGTTGAATGACTAGCTTGAATCTTGATATATTAGTTGGTACTAGTTGGTAATCATGAAAGATCCGTATATACCTACGCCATTTTATTTGTGATGTTGAATCATAATTGGAAAATCACACTCATCGGTTAAATTTGTTTTCTTTGAACATATTTTTTGGTTATTTGACTGTGACTGCCACTTCGGCACCTCCACCACTTCCATTATATTATGCCATTCCACTTAAAAAGGAAGATATCATGGGCAAGGAAAATCAAAGTATCTTTTATAAATGTGATAGTGGGCTGAAGAAAAAATAATTGGTCTTCTTAATAATTGTATGATAGTGGGTTAAAGAAAATCATTAGTCTTCTTAGTCTTGCCCTTTTTGAAAAACTTTCCAAACACTTTTTTGAATCGGATGAGAATCAGACGTTAATTGATGAGCTAAAATAACAAGTGCACTATTTATTTAAGTAATAAAGTAATAACTAAAATATTATTCCTACAAAGATTATGACTAATTTGGTATTAAAAATAACTAATTCAAGAATTATTTGAATACACAAAAAGGAAACAAATTTTAATTAAACTAATTTAAAAAAATAACAATTTAAAATAAAATTCACCAAGATGAGAAGTACTGAGACATCTGATCTCATTATAATCAATCAATATAAATTTCAAATTATTATGCTTTTAAGATAGTTACTACTCTTGTAACAATGGAATTTTGTATCATATACGATATACTTTTTTTTTTTTTGAACAGTATTACATGAGGTGGGTTTGAACCCTGCCCGGGGGAGGGGGGAATGCATCTTATGTGGTCAGAGACCACTTGGCCCCAAGGGCCAGATGCCATATACGATATACTTTCTCAAATTATAACAAATATTTTTTTACCAATTAATCCACTATATCTTTATATGAATTTAAATGAATAAAAATGCATTGTGTTATGTAAAATTTCATAACTTATGTAGAAACTTTCAAGTCCACTTATGACTAATACTACAAAAATTATGTTGATTCATCATTGACTTTGGTTCAATTTATGGTATATTTTATTAAAAGATATAACATAAAATCTCTTTTCAATTTCAATTATGCTTTGCATATCAATTTTAATAGTGTATAGCATTAAATAGAATTAAGAATAATAATATATACTTCTTATAAAATAACAATCCCAAGAGCATAAAAACCATAAAAATCACTAACAAATTGATAAAATTATATCGAAACCTTAGTAAGGTATATTGATTCATAATAAAAATAATATAATCTAAAATCATAGTTATGAACAAAAAAATTTCATGCTAAACATGCCAAAATAAAGTATACAACTTAAAAAAAAAAAAAAAAAAAAGGCAAAACCCAATTTAAGGGTATTAATTTTCTTGATTATCTATTATTTATAAATTCTTATTACCTATAATTTAGTTTTCAAAAGTGCCCCAAAAATCTAAAAAAAACATTTAAAGAACTCCCAAAAGTCTCCTCACCTTTGATCTTGAACGAGTATTTATAAATTTTGAAAAATCCTAATTGAAATGGAAATGGGATTCACAATAAAATAATAAGAATTTAGTGTGAAGTTGCTGAAAATTTGCCGAGAAGTTGACACCCCAAGCTGAAGTGCCGGCACCTTTACTAACGCCGTGAAACAAAGAAGGCGGTTGGCAAAGCTTAAAAGGCTGCTATTTTCAAAGTAC